CTCCCCTCTCCTCCTTTCCCCCCCCTCCTCTTCCCATGTTCCTGGGCTAAAACTGGATTATAGCTTTCCTAGGAAAGCTATAAATTAGTTTCATAGTAGGGTTGAGTACATTGGATACTTTTTCTTCCCTTATTGGGATACTTTGCTAAGAAGAATATTTTCTAGCTCCATCCATGTAAACATAAAGGAGGTAAAGTCTCCATATTTCTTAATGGCTGCATAGTATTCCATGGTGTACTTATACCACAATTTATTGATCCATTCATGGATCGATGGGCTCTTGGGCTTCTTCCATGACCTAGAAATTATGAATCGGGCTGCAGTGAACATTCTGATACAAATATCTTTATTGTAGTGTGATTTTTGGTCTTCTGGATATATACCTAATAGAGGAATTATAGGATCAAATGGCAGGTCTATTTTTAGTTCTTTAAGTGTTCTCCAGATGTCTTTCCAAAAGGAACGTATTAGTTTGCAATCCCACCAGCAGTGTAGAAGTGTTCCCTTTTCTCCACAACCACACCAGCATCTGTGATTTGGGGATTTTGTGATATGGGCTAATCTCACTGGAGTTAGATGATATCTCAAAGTAGTTTTGATTTGCATTTCTCTGATGATTAAGGATGGTGAGCATTTTTTCATATGTTTGTAGGCCATGTGCCAGTCTTCTTGACAGAATTTCTCTTCAAGTCCCTTGCCCACCCTGAGAGGGGATGACTTGTTCTCTTCTTGCTAATACGTTTGAGTTCTCTGTGGATTCTGGTTATGAAACCTTTGTCAGAGACATAACCAGCAAACCTCTTCTCCCATTCTGAGCAAACCATAACCAGCAAACTCTCTTCTCCCGTCTACTTGCTTTGCTTACTGTCCTTTTGGCTGTGGAGAAGCTTTTTAATTTGATCAGGTCTCAGTAGTATATTTTTGATGTTGCTTCAATTGCCCGGGGGGTCCTCTTCATAAAATTTTCACCAAGGCCGATTTCTTCAAGTGTTTCCCCTACACTTTCTTCTAGTATTTTTATAGTTTAATGTCATAAGTTTAAATCTTTAATCCAGTAAGAGCCAATCTTAGTTAGTGATGAAAGGTTTGGATCTAGTTTCAGTCTTCTGCAGGTCGCCAGCCAGTTTGCCCAGCACCACTGGTTAAATAGGGAGTCTTTTCCCCACTCCATATTTTTAATTGGCTTGTCAAAGATCATATAATGGTAAGTATCTGGGTTCATCTCTTGGTTCTCTATTCTGTTCCATACATCTACCTCTCTGTTTTTGTGCCAATACCATGCTGTTTTGATCACTATGGATTTATAGTATAGTCTAATGTCCAGTAGCATGATTCTTTCAAGAGAACTATGCAACTCTAAGAAAAGAAATAGCTGAAAATGTTAACAAATGGAAAAACATACCATGCTCATGGCTGGTAAGAATTAACATTGTTAAAATGTCCATACTACCCCCAAAGCAATATATAATTTTAATGCAATCCCTATTAAAGTTCCATTGTCATGCTTTAAAGATCTTGAAAAAATAATACTTAGTTTTATATGGAATCAGAAAAAACCTTGAATAGCCAAGACATTACTCAGAAATAAAAACAAAGCTGAAGATTTTAGAATGTGGGATAAACTGGCCTTTGAAAGTAGATGTGAGGTCTATGGGTTTGACAGCAATTGGTGAGCCCAGCCTGCTTCCCACAGCTAGAGCAATGAAAGGATCACTTAAAGGATCACTTACACAAAGCCTAGAACAATGTGGAAATAACAATTACTGTCATTTGGTGAGTGTCCTTCCCCATCACAAACTATAACCACTGTTATCTGCATTTTATAGAGTAAGTGGAGTGTTAGTTGACAGGTGGAGAGTGCTTTGCCCAAGATGACACGGAAAGTATCAAAGCCAACCAGATTTCTTTTTTCTTGGCCACAGCACAAGTAGCCTGATTTCCCTGGGACATCCAGCTTTCTTCAGGTTCAGAACGAGAGAAGAAAAGTCACCTCTCCTTCCTTCTGCCTTTACTTTCTAGTTGCTGTTACATTTTACAATCAATGCCCCCGATCCAGCCTCTACTGTGTGCCAGATATAGAGCTTTCATTATATTATAAAATGTATTTTCTTCTCATTTCCAAAACTAAACTACAAAGAGTCAAGGAAATGGAAGCTAAGATAAATAAGCAATTTGCTCCATGTTGCGCAAGTTTTAATCTTGGCACCAGAATTTGACATAGTTCTCACAAACTTCAAAGCATTTTCAACTTACATGACTACCATAGAACTTAGTGGTTAAGCTCCCAGACTCTCAAGCCAGACTGTCTGGGTTCAAACCAAACCCTAAACTACTACTCACACTACCCTGGGAAAACTTCTCATTGACTGCGTGTCTTAGTTTCCTGATCTGTCAAATGATGATGGTTTCCTTCTCATAGGTTTTCATAAGAAATAAAGGATTACTAAGAACATAATAAACACTACAGACATTTGCTTTCTCTGTGGAATATAAGCTATTTGAGCACAGGAATTATTGTCTGTTTTGTTCACTACCTTGTGTCCTCATCACCAAGAATGATGTCTAGCACACAGCAGGCAATATTGTTGTACGGATGAAAACTGCCCAAGCTAGAGCCTTTAAATTAGGTTATGACTGGGTTTTAAGTCTGCATGAACAAGCATAGCTCTTCTTTTTCCTTACTATTTTTGTATAACATGGATTTACTAGGTAAAGTTTAATGAGTCTTTGAAGTCATCATTTTAAGTGTAACACTGGAGACTAATGATTGTCTTCATTCTTTCAATGTTCCCAACAAAAGTAGAAGTCAGTACAAAGGTGAAGCTGAGGCTTGAGCACATAGCAGGTACAAAGAGTGCTTTCAGACACACTCTCCTAGTTCTTTGCTGTTCCCAAAGGGGCATACTTATGTAATTAGTTTTAAAATTCCTTTCATCCTGTATTTTTTAATCTGTCATTATCACATAGATCCTTATCTTTGGAATTTTACTTTTACTAAACTTGTATCTTTTTAATACCATGCATTCTAAATCCAAATCAGCATTTAGCGGCAAGAGCTGCTGAAGGCCAGTGTAATAAATGGATTATGGATCTCATTTACTTGGAAAGATTGCCTTTAGTGTCCATACTTCAGTAGTGACAGGGATTTCAGAGAACAATAAGGATTTGGGGGGTGGGGAGAAGTGGGAAGAGCAACCTCACCCAAGAGGCTGAGCATGCGCAAGAAGGAAGCGTAAAGAGGCAATGGAAGACAGAGTTGCCTCTGGAACAACACGCTCTTGCAGGTGGATTTATGGAGAGCTCCTTGGAGGCTGAGCCCCACATATTTCCAAAATCACTATGTAGAAGCTGTAGCACCTTGGCAGAAAACCATTTTTAAGTTTTTATTGGCTTTATGATGAGTATGAGATATTCATTCTGATTGATGCTTATAACCAAGACCTCTAACACACAGCTAAGCACTGGGATTCTAATCTTTCTTCCCAATTTGCACTGTGTAAATTATTATTTTCATTAAGATTAAGCATCCTCATAGAATCACACAGCAGTAACTTATGTTAACGCCTCAGAATGCTCCATCTCTGACAATTTGCCCACCAAACTCCCTTTTGAAGATCTTTAAAAATCTTCAGTAATCAGGGAGGCTAAAATGTAGCATTGGTTGTTTTAATGTGGAATCTTCTACATGGTTTATATAAAATAATCAATGTGTGTAAGTTGTGCTCTTGAAGGTTCCTCTGTTTACCATCAAAATAATTTGCAGACTTGTCTGATTTATATATTTTTTTAAGTCCAAAAAAAAAAAAAAAAAGCACTCTTCTGGTTACATTTTGGAAAAGTTTATAAATGAATGATTTGCTGCAGTTTAAAATATCTATGAATTTTATTATCCTGCATACTAAATTGTAAATGAAACTGTCTATGAATTTGATTATCCTGTAAGCTGTAAACTTGAACTCTTAAGCTAGAGTTAAAGAATACTGTGAGGTTGACTCTCCATATGGTTTAGGAACCCAGTGGTAAAATTTCACTTTGAGGTTAAAATGGTGAGATAACAATATGGTCTAAAATGGCAATAATAAGGAAAAATAAGATTTCCCATGACAGTGGTTATTCATAAAGTATGATGAGCTTAAAAGTATAGTAAAGTGCTCTGATATGTAATCTTCTATTAAAGTAATAGCTAAAATTTTTGAAGTATTTGTTATGCACAAGAAATTATGTGTAAACTGTCCTACATGTGTTATTATATTTTGTCTTTCTATGAGATAGGTGGTATTATTAGCCTCATTTATCAATGATGAAAAAGGAATGGAAATAAGGATTTATAAAGGTGAGGCAATGTGCCAGAGGTTGCAAGAGTAAGAAATAGCAGAGCTATGTTTCAAAGCCAGATCATTTACCACTAGAGCCTGAATTCTGAGCCATTGCCCATAACATAAACCCAAATCACTAATGGGATTGGCAATAAACACATATCTAGATTGGATATAAAAATGATTACATATAGATGACCTTTAAGTGGTAATCATATTATAGGTAATACTGTAATAAAATAAAAATTATATTCAGAATAAATAAACCCATTTGCCTTGTGGCCCTAAAAACAGAGTGGTATAACTAATATTACTTCTACATGATAAAACAAGTCTAACTTTTTAGAGGGCAGAATTTCAAGGAATAAACTAATGGCACTCACATGCTTTGTCTTTGCAAAGACAAAACAAATGAGTGTTTTTACATCTTTTGACTTCATTATCTTACCAATCAACAAAAATCTCAAGTTTCATTTTCCTTTTGTGGACATGACAAATCTGAGCCTCAAGGAATTTTTAAAAATCCATTACTGTCATACAGCTAGACGGGTAGTAGAAATAAAGTCTCAATCTAAATGTTATGATTTTGAGTCTAATGGATTTTTCCCCTCTCCCTTAAGCTACAAGATCAGAACAAATATGGTTGGTAAAATCTACTCAACACTGTATTTCTCCTTTCTTCAGGTCGCTACCCTCAAGAGAACAAGGGAACATACATCCCAGTGCCTGTAGTCCCAGAGCTACAAAGTGGAAAGTGGGGAGCCAAAGTTGTGATGAGAGAGGACAGGTCTGTCCGGCTGTCCATCCAATCTTCCCCTGAATGCATTGTGGGGAAATTCCGCATGTACGTTGCTGTTTGGACCCCCTACGGTATACTCCGAACCAGGCGAAACCCAGAAACAGACACTTACATTCTCTTCAATCCTTGGTGTGAAGGTAAGGGACAGGCATTCAGTTTTCTCATTAATGGGACTGTACCTATGGTGCATTTTACAAGGGTACATGTCAAATCTATTAAGTGTAGAGTATAAATGTCTTAATACAATAATTAAGAAAGTGCAGTGAAGGCTATGTTAACTAGTTTGTTTTAAGTATTTCAAATTATATATAAAACCAGTACGTTGTGCCCCCAAAATGCATTAATGTACACAGCTATGATTTAATAAAAAATTCAGATATTTCCAACGCATCTCTTTTTTGAAAAGTAGCAGGATTATTCTAGAAGACATGTCTTTTTCCTACATGCCCTGTTTTTGTTATTGAAAGAGAGAAAATGATACAAAATTTGTCCCCTGTGTATATAAGGATAAAAACATATATGTAAAGTTAATGCTGCTATATATTTATTCCAGGATTAATTGATGATTACCTGAAATTGCATAATTAGCTGTTTGTGGAGCTATATGTTGATGGTATAACTTCTGTATGTAATTGCTTATAAAGAAACAGGGCTTCTTAAATTTGACTATCAAAACTTAGAATACAGGCCAGGTGCCATGGCTCATGCCCATGATCCCAGTGGTTTAGGAGGCTGAAGTGGGAGGATGGCTTGAGCCCAGAAGCCAGGCATTCAAGGTTACAGTGAACCATAGTTCACTGTGGCCTGGATGGCAGAGCAAAAACTTGTCTGAGAAAAAGAAAAAAATCCATAACTCTGACTTCAGAAAATAGAATAAAGTGTATCTACTCTGTTCTTAGAGAAACTAACTTTTCTATCTCCCTAATTCAAGAACAGAAAGCCTGAATATCTAAAGGGTCCCACAAACCTGTTTATGTGTAGGATGGGTGCAAATTTCTCAAACCATAACTCTGAAGGGCAAATATCTGGCTGCATTTTAATATAATGTAACTTGATCTCCACTGCTATTTTCAGTCTTCCTTTCTGTCTGCTGCAGAAGTTTAATCTAGTTATATTCAAATAAACTCAGTCAAGTTCGATGATGTCTCCATCAATTCTGTTTAGCGACTCAGTCACACACAGGATTTTCTCCCTACCCCTGTCTCTGTCCTTCCCTAGCTCTTCCCTCCTCCCATACATGGTGTGGAGTGGATTTCAAGTTCCAGATGTTGCATAAGCATTGATCTTTTGGGGGGGGTGGGGTGACCACTTTTAGGTCTTAGAAAATGAGTCAATGAAACATTAAATCTGAGATAGGCCAGAAGACTTCTCATGTTATCTTACCTCTTTTTCATTGCTCTCTAAATAGCTTCCAAAATGAGTCTATATTTTTGCTGATTTTGAGAGACCCTTATTTGTGAGAGTTACATTTGGATCAGGATTAAGCTGAACTAGATATAGATAATACCTAGACAACAGTGTTCTCTACTCATCCGGAACATAAGCCTGGATTCCATTGACTTTTTCTTCTAATTGTTTGTTCCATAGTGTTGACAGATGGCACCAAGCTACTCCTATACTCCCCACCCACCCATGCTCACCATCTTGTGACCAACATTTTTTTCCTATGAGATAGCTATTCAGGGTTGATGGTAACAGAAGATGTTATCTGGGCCACTTATAGTTCAAAAGTGGACTCTTGTTTACAGTGCTCTCATCAGCCAGACAAAAGGCATTTTTGCAACTGTTTGGGGGGAGGGGTTGATATTTATAGAATATAAAAAGCCTGAAGGGATTGTAGGTATCAGCTTAGATTTTGAAAATATTAAGTTGGAGATATAATAGATATACAAGCAGAAATGACAAGTAGGTATGAGAATGTGGAGAGGCGAATCAGAGATACGTATTTAGGAGCTATCTGCATGGAGGGAAAAAATATAGATAAAGAAGGAAATAGGCTACAGTATCAAGCCCTCAGGAATGCCATCATCTAGTAGCCCAGTAGAGAAGGAATCAGCAAAGAAGATTGAGATTGAGAAGCATGTAGGAGGTGGATGGATAAGAAAATTATATTTTAACAATCCACACTTATAGATAAACTAGGAGTTTGTTGTTGACTTGCTTTGCATTACCAAAAAAATCATAGGCTCATATAACTATCTGTTCATATTTCAAGAACACTACGATTTACTCAGACTTTGGTTTGCTTGCAACTTTTCTGGATTACGTCATCTATGTAAAATGGGATACATGTCAACTTGCATTTCAACATGTCCACTAGCATTTCAACTTATGTGGCCACTCTTCTTGAGGTGAAAAGGGTTAGTCTTCCTGCCAGACACTTTGAATTTATAGGAGGACCACTTAGGAAGTAGATGCTCTAATCACTTTTTAATCACTTCCTTGGCCTTCAGCTGCATTCATAGTGAGTAGCTTCCAGGCACCTCTGTTCAGAAACAGTTACTCAGATCTATAGGTAATGTGGATGGCACTCCCTCACATATTTGGTACATAGAAAGAATTAAAGGAAGATGAGCTAAAACCAGATCAAACAGTTGGGAAGCTGTGGTCTAGGACACAGGACAGACTAAGCTATGGTGGCAGCAGTGGAGATAAGAAGGAGATGGCTTGGAGATCTATTTTGTATTTAGAACAGAAATTGCATAAGGATTGAAAATGAGAGGTAAAGAAGAGGGAGGAGTCAAGAATAACTCAAGACATCTGCTTTGACCAATTGGGTTGAGGGTGGTGCCATTTTCAGAGCTAAAAAAGATGGATGGAAGTGAGAGGGACCTCTAGAGGTGAAACTAAGAGTTACATTTGGAAGTTTATTTGCTGATGTCTGTGTAACATCCCAGTGAAAATGTCAAGCAAGCACTTGAGTCAGTGAATCTAGAATTCAAAGGAGATGGCTGAGCTAGATGTGCAAATATGGGTACCATTGGGAGCAAGAATCAATAAAAACAGACTCAGGACCAACCATCAACAAGTAAAGTAGAGACGGAGGAGAAGTCAGAAAAGGAGACTAAGCAGGAGCAGTTGGTGGGGTATCAGGAAATCAAAAGAGCAGAGAGCCAGGTATATCAATTGATTCAAGAAAACAGCATTTAACTCTGTTGAATGCTGCTAATTTGTTGACTAAGATAAGGCAGTAAAGTGATCATACACTGTGGCAGTGTGGAAGCCACTGATGATCCTGAAAAGGACTATTTCCCTGGCACAATAGGGACAGAGCCCAGGAGATGAGCACCAACTGCAGTGTTAACAGGAGGTGAGAAAGTAGAGAGGTAGATGATCCTATCTCTCTCAAGAAGACTTTCTGCAGAACCTAGATGTTGATGTGAAAGTCAAAAGAGAATTTTTTAAAGATGAGAGTGGGTGTGATTTTATGGTGATGGAGATGAAGCAGAGAAAGGGCAGTGCTTCTCAGCTGGGGATGCACACTGCAGTCACCAGGGAGCTTTGAAATTGCTGGTGCCTCAGTCCTCCCACACAGACATCCGATGTAATTGCTCTGGATCGCAGCCTGGGCTTCAGGGTTATTAAAAGCTCTGCAGGTGATTCTTGAAGCCAAGGTTGAGAAGCACTGGCTTTAAGAGTGAAATCCTGGAGTGGCTGGGATCCAGGGAACAGGTGGAGGGCAGGCAATGGGTGAGGCTATCCGCCCTCCACTGAGACAGAAGCACAGTGGGAGAAGATGGGTGCACATTTTCCAATGTCAGTAGAAGAAGGATAAGGTTGTTGCCATTCTGTGATTATTTTTTTTTTCTCAGTGGAGGGTTAAGCAAAGTAATGGGTTGAGAACAAGTAGCAATGAAAGGCTAGCAGAGGCTTGACAGGGAAGATGTGGTGTGGGCCAGTCATTTGGTGAGTGGAAGGTGAGCTTACTTCAGAAACGTGCCAGTGGGTCCTCCCTGCTCTCCAGAACACAGGAAGACCTGCCACAATCCCTTAATTCCTTAGCCCATGCAAGTCCAAGTGTTTCTGCATATTTCTTAGGGATTTCTGTACTTCCTGCCTCCAGGGATTCTATCCCCAGCCCACTGTGCTGAAGCCTGTGTTACCACAGGTGAGAAACTCCTTCCCCCTTCAATTTCAACAACAGCAACAACAGAAACAGCCATACAACATGGGGTCTGTGAGTGCAATTACATTTTTAATTGCAACTTGGCATGGAGGGTGAGAGGAGGAAAGATTCAGTGGTTCTCAAGCTGAGAGCACATTAGAATCACTTGCATGGCTCATTAAAACACACATTTCTGTGCAGCACCCTCAGATTGAGTAGGTCTGCAGGTGGGCTTGAGAATTTGTGTTTCTAATCAGTTCCCAGGGGCTCTGATGCTGCTGCCTGGGGACCACACTTAGAGAACCATTGGTTTACACAATAATCACAAAATTATAAGTTACAAAGCCAGGAAGGTGGTACGCACTTGGAGTCCCAGCTACTTAGGAGGTAGAAGGATCAGTTGAGCCCAAGAGTTGGAGTCCAAGTGGGCAACATAGTGAGACCCCATCTCTGAAAAAATAGTAAACAATGATTACAAAACACAAAAGAGTCTTAAAATTTCACTGGTTCTTCCCTGAGCCTAATCCCAGTCTCTCCACTTTAGCACCTCTTCTCTCTCCCCATTACTCTCCTTTGTTCGCCAAGCCTTTCTTCCCCAGGGGCAAGTTCTCTTTGTTTTGCCATGGAGTGGTGTCTAGGAAGCTCTGTCCATTTGTTGTTTGGGCTCCTCCAACAACCATGCCTTTGAGTAGTATATAGTTTTTTTGTCTCATGAAATGGGAGAAAGGTCATCTTCTCACTTTATTCCCTGTGTGGGTTTCCCAACCTAGCACTCAAAGTAAGCCCCAAAGGAGAACAGTATGAACCCACACACATGCAAGCAGATGTAGTATAGCCCAACAGTAGTTACCCACTTCCTTGCAGATCTAATGCATAGCAAGGAACTCATAGAGAGAGAGAGACAGTCTGGTAACTGTAGGTCAAGACAGAGGGATAGGACCATTGCCCAAGTGGAAAAGATAATAAAAGAGAAGGACCACACTCAGAAGTTGTCAAAAGAGAGGCAGGTGAACATATGCAGGAAGCACTACA